ACCGCATTTTACTTGTATTAACAGGTCATTGTCGAAGCGTAGTTTACGCACGGTTACCATGTTATACACATTCACAACATGTTCACAGCAGTCGATATCCACGCTGTATCATATAAAAAACGATTACCAAGATTCGTTACGCAAGACCAAGTTTTAAATTAGTTGCATTTTGAAGGGGTGGGCGCTTTGCCGAATGTGACCCCAAATATAAAAATTGCGCAAAAGTGGGGGGTGGGCGCTTGCCCGGGCATGGGCGCTAACGCAGTCGAGTACGGTATATGTATTTATTCCTGTATAGTAACTTACCTTATGTGTTCTTTATATCGCACTTACAAGTTTAATATCTTTTGTTTTGGTGGTTTTAATTTCAATTTTGCGTTTGTGTCAAGCATGTCTTTCACGTGATGCGAATGTATTTCTTAACCTTATTCTTTGATGACATTTCAAACAATGTATTAGAGTGCTGTATTAAAAATACTGTATTTTGGCTGGAATTAATTTTCACTGAAAAAAAACATTTTGGTTTTGTATGAAGTTTTTATTTTCACCAATTTCTGATTACCTGGATGTAAAGTATAGAAAAAAAGGTATTTTTACTAGATTTTATTTTCACTGATTATCCCTTCAGCGAAAATAAATTTCAAGTGAAAATAGAGTACATTACAGTCTTGAACTATTGTTATTTCAACTCGTGTTGATTTCAGTGCTGAATTTTATGTGCAAAATGCAAATTGAAATTGAAATCGAAATCAGCCAAAATTTTTTTTTATTTTCACACACTCATTTTAACTAAACATGTGTACATACAGTATTGTTGCGAGACGTCAGAAAGGCGATGACTACATGCATGACAACTTAGGATTATAATCTCAGGAATATTTTTTATGTATAAAAAAAAATTCTGTGGACTCGTAAGAACTAGATTTATTGTAACACAGACTGTAAAAAACAATTTATTGCAGTATGCTCTAATTCAAAAAACAAAAAAACATTCCACATGACAGCAGTATCTGAACTTGAATGACCTTGACAGATACTGGAATTCCATTATTTGGTCACATGTCTGATTGACACGAGAAAACCTTAATTGGGAAAAACAAATTATGTTAATTTTTGTCTCTTCTTGGAAATTGCTACAAGATAAAAAAATGTTCTTCAGAGTGCAACTATCATTTGTGTGAATTTCAAGTAAAAGTTTTGGTTTATATTCACATAAACTAGAGTTGTTGTCTTGCATGTAAAGTAAGAGTCTACTTGTTGTTCATAATTCCTAACTAGTTTAAGTACACATGCTAATGTATGACTTTAACATCCCTTTAATCTCATTAATGACTATGTAAACCTTGTCCCTAATCTTGTCACCCCTGTGTATTTTAACATTGACTTGACCACAGTTAAGTTCATATAATTAAGTATTTTTTCCAAAATATAAAAAAAATTAGAATTCTTTTTAAGCTCTAAGTATGTTGAATTTTGTTGCAATGTCTGTTAAACAATATGCATGACAAATTAAGAAAAGAAGAATATCCATCGGTGTGAACTTGATATTAATTGTTACATTTTTCCTTGCAGGAGACCTTGGTGATCTGGACACGATGCCGCCACATCCACCTGAACCCGATTATTTGGAGCCGAGGGAAGCTGCCAAGTCGGTGAGCTCATCCCAAGTCAGCACTGACAGTGATAGCGATATTATGGTAAGTGTGCTTGAAATTAACATACTGGTTTGTTTCAACCTGATAGAGGCTAGTCATTTTAACATAGAGCCCCCTCAGTGTGACAGTGTTGAAGTGTTTTGTTTTTACAAGTCATGTTATTAACTGTGTGATGGAAGTGATTCATCATTGTATAGATTTCATTCTATATTCTGTGTTCATGTTCTTCATTTATTTATTAGTTGTTATTGTTTTTAACGAATGTATGCAATATTTTTATCTAGGAGGACACGCCACCACCACCTCCGCCACCAACAGTTTATCCAGCTCCGAAGCCGATATTTGTCACTCCAAAACCCAAAGCTCACCAGTTTGTGGTGAGAACGTTTGGTACTCCTGTCAAATGCAATCATTGTACCTCTCTCATGATTGGCCAGGTGAGACAAGGAACTGTTTGCGAAGGTAAGATAACTCACTAGATTTATATATTGAGTTGTGGTATCACGGAACCTTGATGGTCTCATTTTATAATATACGATTAGAATATTAACTTTTTTTTCTTCCTTGCTGTCTTTGTTTTTCAGTTTGCCACTTTGCCTGCCACACTGCCTGTGCAGAGAAAGCGCCGCAAGTCTGTCCGATACCGGCAGATCAAAGTAAGTATCGTTCACCTTCACCTACCTTTTTAATTCATTATCATGGTGTACAGTTGAAATTAATGTTTTTATGGCTAGTTAACAAGTTTTTCGATCGATCGCTGACTCGTTCGTTTTGTATATTGTAGGATTTAACTTCATTTCATGCCTCCAACAAGGTAGATTTTTAATAGAATTTCACTGCATCATGAAAGTTTTTATTTCTTTGGGCAATTTTTCTCTTTCACTTGAAATTTACCCCCCTTCCCCCTGCTCACTGTTAGCATGTTTATTATAGGCTGAATTTTTTATATGAATAAGACGTACGATTGATGCTGAAAACATGTTCATTTATCGCACCACTGGTATGAGCAACAGATGTGCGATACATGACCAAAATTGACTTACAGTAAAGTTCACAAAATTTCTTTTTTTTTGTTTTTGTTTCGTACATCGATTTTTTTTTATAGTCTGCTGTCTTCTTTTCACCTTTCCTGTACTGGTCAAAGTTACATGAAGACATCCCATAGATAGTGTAGTATAGCCCTGCATGTTAGTGTTAAGCGTGTCTGTAATTAGCAAATTTTCGTTACAATGTCTGCGAATTTATATTTGCTATTGTTATTAAGTCTTGGGTGTGTGAATATTATTATTTCCACTGTTATTAACGCATTGTCATCCTTGATGCTAAATGTCGCTCTGTTTCAAATAAGTGAGTCTCTCCGTGATGATGTGAAAGATGTGTGTCATATCTGTATCGTCTACAATTTTATCTTTACTAATTTTATATCGATATTTACTAAAAATATGTGTGAAAAAGACCATATTTTTTTTTTGACGAACCAGATTCAGATATTGAATGATCGGCCTTAACTATAAACAATAATTAAACTTAAATTATCATTTTTTTTAAATAGATGATTCGTAAGTATATAAAGAATATGCATAAAACTAAAAGATACAAAACATCTGTAGAAAACACAGATTTGATACCACTAGCGAGTCAGACTTCAATTCATTATGTGCCCAAACCATGCTGTCTGCTGTCTTCTTCGTTCTACTCATCGCATTTACATAGCTGTCCGCATTACCAAACCTAAGATTGCGTTCTGTGCTAATTATGTTATCGATATCTGTTGATTTCCTGCATAATTACTGTATTTCCTGTATTTAAAGTGTATTCGCGTGTATATTGACCTTTTCACCACCAGACTTTCCCGCCCCAAATTTTTCTGCACTTTTTTGTTTTATTCTTTAATATTTCTGAAAATCAACCCTAATTTTGGAGCTGACAGACAAAATTTGAGTAAATTTTCACTTTTACTCAAGAAACTTGGCTATTTTTGTCCCAATCTTTTGAAGAAAAGTGCTAACTAAAAACGAGACTAAAAAAATGTGATGAAAAGAGGGAACTAGTGGTGAAAAGGATAAATTCTTGGATGCAGTTCTCACAATACAATGTGTATATTATACCAGTGAGTAAGTGGAAAAATCACATTTGAAATGCACTGATAGTTTAAGACAATATACGGTATCAGTAAAAAACAAACTGTATTTCTACTTTGTATATGCTGTTTATTGAAGGGGAGCTTGAAATAGAGGAAATACAATAATGTGGCAAGTATATTGTAGCCGAGGTGAAACTTTGTTTTGCAATTACTATTTTAAATTCATTTAAATTTGTTTCATTCATTTTCTTATAAACTTTTAGTTAAAAACAACTGAACTGAAAAGTTTTGTGATTTCAATGTATAAACAGTGCAACACTTGATTGATATGAATTTTAATTTGATTTTTTGTAGCTAAAAGGCCACTGGGAATCGACCCTACTCGTGGTATTGGCACTGCCTACGAAGGAAACTTGAAGATTCCCAAACCCGGTGGAGTACGCAAAGGATGGATGAAGCAGTTCGCCGTAGTTTGCGATTTTAAACTTTTCCTTTTTGAGATGCCAGAAGGAAAAAACGCACAGCCAACAACCTTCCTCACTCATGTGATTGATATGAGGTGAGTTTTTATTTTTGTTCAGCGCATGCCCATTTTTTTCAAAACATCTTCAAATAGTTTGGACATTGATTCAATTGGTTGTTACTGAAATAATCATACCACAATGTCTTTAACCTTTGTTTTGTTTTTATTTCATACTTGATTCGTCAACTTTGATCTGATCTTTATTTTTCTTTTGTCGCAGGGATGAAGAGTTTTCAGTTTCGTCAGTGTTAGCATCTGATGTAATACACGCTTTTAAACGAGATATTCCTTGTATATTTAGGGTAAGTGTACGATCATTTGTCCTCAAGGGCTGAAACTATTACCCACATATCATCTCACTGATACTTTTATGAGATTTTCCTCAAAAAAAGTATCTTGTGTAGATTTAGAACTCAAATTTTGATTTTACAGAAAAAAAAATAATGGATATATTTGTTGAAGGTGTATTGTCCCCTTTATTTCAATGCTATATGGAGTAATTTCAGTCATTTATCAAATGCAGTTATTACGATGTTCTTTCCAGGAATTTTTGACAGTGTGGTGACTCATGTGCGTAACAATAGAACCTTATTAATTAATAATTAAATTATTAGCATAAGAATAACCTCTTTTGATTTCTTGAAAGTTTGAGCGTGTTAAAACCGTCGTGAACACTGTACTGAAACTAGAACTTTTTCAATACTTTAAATTACTTTATTTTCACTGAAGTGAAAATAAAATCTAGCGAATATATATTTTTTTTCTATATTTTACATTAAAATCATCAAGAATCAGTGAAAATAAATTCCATACAAAACACCCAAAAAGTCTTTTCAGCGAAAATTAATTCCAGCTAATGTAAAGTATTTTACAGTATATGAAAATATTACTTCACTTACTTAATTATTTTGTTAATTATAACGACACATTCTTTGCAGGTGACAGCTTCACAGCTGCAGCAGGGAGCTAAGGCGCAAATACTTTTATTAGCAGACACCGAAAATGACCGTATCAAGTGGGTTGGTGCCCTCTCCGAATTACACAAAGTACTTAAGAAAAATAAATTGCCCGATAGGTCGGTTTTTAGAGCGAGAGAAGTTTGTGATAACTCACTTCCACTCATCAGGGTGGCTCAGTGTGCTGCTGTTGTAGGTAAGTACGCCCTCTGTAGGTGAAATGATTTTTATTCCCAACTTGTGGATGTTTTATTCATCGCAAATTCTCTCATAATATTTGCTAGCCTGTAATTTCCATAAAATATTCGCAGTCTTGTAGTGATTTTGAACTTCTCTGATTTCTTTTCAGATCCGGATCGGGTTTTACTGGGTACAGATGAAGGCATGTTTTGTATAGACTTACCCAAAGATGAAATTCTGCGTATAGGTGACGGCAAGCGAGCCTATCAAATAGAAGTCTTGCACGATGAACAAATGCTCGTAGTGATTTCTGGTAAGCCACTAAATATTATCAAGTTCTTAACCTTTACTTATGTTAATGTGGAGTCCTTTGTCAGTGACGTATATTTATCACTCAAATAAGGCCATTTCAAATGTTATCATATATGAATCTGAAATTGGTATTTCAATAGCCAATAATTAAACAACTTGATTAAAGGCGACTTTCCTAGTTTCTACTGTTTAGTGCCGATACATAAAGACATTTATTTTTGGTAAACCTTTGCAGGTAAAGGTCGGCACTTACGACTGTTTCCTATGACGGCCTTGGATGGTTACGAAATGGAGGGGATCAAGTTACAAGAAACCAAAGGTTGCAGTATGTTTACAATAGGAACAATTCGACAAGGTTCGACGACGTGTATATGTGCTGCCGTTAAGAGACACGTCTTTGTTTATGAACTCAATCGCACTAAGATTAGACACAAGAAAATCAAAGACATACAACTGCCGAACAGTGCTCAGTGGTTGGGTGTCTTTGGAGGACGTTTAATTGCCGGATATGTGTCTGGTTTTGGTGTATTTTCAATACAAGGGGAAGGTTTCCCGCATACTTTGTTGAACCCGGAGGATGCGTCGTTGAAGTATTTAATGACTAGTCCTGTGGACGCACTGTGTGCCGTTGAAGTCAGCAGCAAGGAGTTCTTACTCTGTTTTGCCAGTAAGTAAAAATAAGTTATAGTTAAATAAAATTTAATTAAAGTTTAATTAAATTGAATTACAAAAGTGAGAGGGATGATAGTAAGGGAGAGAAAGAAGGTGAGATGGACATAACAAAGGCGTCTTGACAACAAAACAAAGTACAGCACCATTGTGCACTTTTTAGGAGTGAGAAGTTATTGTACTGAAAAGTAGCACATATAAGCCCAAACACACATTTGTTGTATAATGAATCATCAAAATATTTCTTATTTTGACCTTAGAAACACCTCTGTAATCCATGTAAGCACATGTGTTTCTGATAGAGCAAATATGTTACTGTTTGTTGAACTATCGTTACGTTAATTCATTGTAAATATGTTTCACATTTATTTCAGCATTGGGTGTTTATGTAGATATCAATGGACGTCGGTCTAGCTTTCAAGAACTAATGTGGCCATCACCACCAGTAGCAATCAGTAAGTCAAATCTTTGTATTCCCCCCCCCCCCGCCCCGTATACACGTCTAATCTGTAGGTTGTTTTGTACTCATCAATATTATTCTCTGTTCTCAGCTTATTCAAAGCCTTACTTAACTGTATATAGCGAGTCAGCAGTTGACATCTTCGATGCTCTCAAGATGGAGTGGCTGCAGACTATTCCTAATAAACAGGTATGTTTATACGGTCTCTTTGATTACTGTTTCTTCTTTAGTTGCACAAATAGCTAAAAAAAGAAATTGCAGTTACTGTTCTAGTTTTCTGGATCATTAAAATATGGCTTATGATCATAGACACCTTTCATTTGTGTAAGCACGTATGCTAATAAAATAGCCAATAATATTCAGCATATTTGTCCTGGTATGGTCTGGACTTCAGGAGCGCTTAATATAAGCAGGAAAGTCTATTCAATCATGTTTGATATTAGATGAATCAATGTGCAGAATTGTTTGTCTCATCTGGCTCACTGTGTCACTCATCTTCACATGGAATGTATTGTATTCACATGTAAAAGTTGTTTTCACAGTGTCGATTGATGATCTAGACTTTAATCGTGTCATTTTTTACTCCTGTGTGCAAAGCACACAATGGGAGTCTTTGCAGCTAGTCTGCCTGCCTGCCTGCCTGCCTGCCTGATCACAGTTTTTTTCTTGTTGTGCATCTCAAATAGCAGACAAATATTAGTTGCCAAGCTTCTTGTTTGAAAAGCAAATCTTAAATTTTTAATTAATTTCAATGTGTCTCCAACACTTTCAACACACAGGAGTTCTAAGCTTTCTTTGATTAGCTTTGTCTTTCATATAATATGAACATACAAGGTTTAGTAACAATTGTTTATGTGACCATAGTTATCAAATTAAAATAACTACAATATTTTAAGCAACATAGACATCAAAATGCTATAATTCCAGTGACCAACAGCTTTTCTTTTATAATAACACGTCTTTTATTATTAATTATTTTTCATTTATGCAGACAAAGCCACTGTCACATGACGGTAGTATGAATGTTAGTTTAGTCACAGAAGGACACATGCCAAGGTTGCTGTTCTTTCACAATATTGCATGTGGTAAGTAAAATTAAAATTTTTCTCAGTGCTCACTGCTGTGGGATTGTTGATACTTTCTGGCTTTCTTGGTATTTAAAGATGGACATCTTGTCTCATCCTTGTGATCTGCAAACGACGATAACACGCTTTCCTTTTCAACAGATAATGCTATCAACCTGCGGATACCAGACATGCCATTCCATAAGCGACAACAAATGCAGCGGCAGCAAAGTAAGAGAAGGTTCTCGTTCAAGACGAGAGAAGATGAGCGGGTAGCGAGAAAGTAAGCATACTTCATGAATTATTCTCTTGTCATCAACACGCGTGATGTTCTTGTTAATATGTGAATGGTTAGAGATGCTCTGTTTTCTGCATGCTGTAAATATCGAATGCAGTGATCAATGTGATCAATTTCTGTCACGTCCATTTACACTTTATGTTATTGACTTTGTTCTCTAAAACAGGATCAGTAGCATGAAATCGCTGATATCGGGGCCCATGAACTTCAACCACATTTCTCACATGGGGCCAGGTGACGGCTTACAGATATTGAAAGACCTTCCAGTGGTAAGTCTCCTGACCTTGCGTACATGAAGACATTGCACTTTAACAGTGGTGTAGGGCTCATTAAGCTAGAGTCTGGATGGCAGTTTGGGAACTGTGCTGTGCTGTGGCTATAGAGCATTTGGGACAAACAAAGCGGCTACAACTCCAACTTTCATCCTTGCCTCTGTCATATCTCGTTCCTCTGAACGTTACACAAAATACTGATATCTCCGTTGTTCATACTTTGTTCATGCATCTTCTGAAGCTGTTTTCTTCACTGTTAAAATAAACAATTCTAACAAATACACTAATATCCTAATACCGTGGGGACGTGACATCGTCGTGCGTGTGTATCACACAGGACACTGCAGTCCATTAATGTTAATCAGGTCAGGCAACCTTTTCGCAACGAGTATTTTGACAACATTTCAATCATTTTCAGATTTTTTAAACTTAAATTTTGGACAAATGTTTTTATTTTTAGAATGTAGTGAACAGAAATTTTACAAGTTCTTTGTATCAAGTGGAACTAAATGTCATTGAATCTGTTAACCATTGTCAACTCCTTCCACTTGTTCTGTTTGCTATCATATCTACTGATTTTTTGTGTGCAATCAAACAAATTTTTAAAGTTGTCAAATTAAATCTCCTAAGCAATGTGAAATTCTGTCTCATTAAAAATAAGAAATAAATGCGTATCCATCTAAACAGCAAAAAAAACAAAAAAAAAACAATCACCAAGCTTCATATCTTCATTTACATTTCTTTTAATTAAATATCTTTTCTATAATCTTCATACTTCATTCTATTCGTCCAGTCTATGACAGCAGCTGATATTCTCGGAGATATCCCGGAGGACGGGGTACGTACTGTAATCCACTTTTACCCCTCACTCTCGTAATATTTGTTTGTTTGTTAATGCACACAACTACCACTCTGTTCACATCTTTGTATACTTTGCACAACATGGTGTCGTGTTTATGCACATAATGTATTAAACCACTAAAAAGTGATTGTTTTCTTCCACTGGCGTTCTTGTTTTCCTTATTTAGCTGGTACTAACATTTTCTCCCACTTTCTTCATCACAGACAGTTCGGCACTCTGACGAGACGCAGCGGCGTGACATAGAACGAGTTAAGAGTATGTTCCAGCCACCTGTAGCAGCAGTTGGTCAGGGGGGACACAGACGTCCAGTGAGCACCCACAGTGCTTCACCTGCGCTCAGTGGCATCAACGGCAATACACGAGGATCACCACCACATGGCTCACCACAGCGGTCGGCCGGTCCACCGTCAGACAGTTCAACGACATCTTCTCAAGACAACTCCCAGAAGAGTTTCTCTATGGCTGAGGACGAACGGGATTGTTCTCTAGATCTATCATCACACTCGCCTAGGCACTCGATAGGTTAGTGTTACCACTACAATCTCTCTTTAAGTGTCATGGTGACTTCACCAGTGCGTATTTGTATCACTTCTCGTTGTTGAACCTGCTATGATCGTAATAAACAATAGCTTATTCAGATTCAAAATGGTCGACTTGTGGCCATATTTGACCCCAAAATAGCCTAAAAATCTGTGTAGAGCATATTTCCAAATTGTGCTGGCTGATTCTGTTCAAACTTAGAATATGGGTAACATCTCTTTGCATACTGAGGTTCATTCTTTATTTTTGATTTTTTTTTCGAAATTGGCTGACTGGTGGCCGTTTTGTTCTTCAAAAATACTTAATTTTGTTATTAATTTTTGTTTATAACGTGAGAATACAATTACTAAGTTTATTCAGATTTGGTACAGAGGCAGTATATTGCTGCATTAAGATGCAAGTTGTTGTTTGTTAAAATTCTATGCAATATGGCTGACCAGAGCAATTTTGGCAATTTTTTATTTTTTTTTCCCCAATTCTCTTTCACATTATTCTTTCACAGTCTATAGTTGGTTGAGGTACGAGTGTTTTTCCATCGACATCACGCAAATTGCGAATATTTTATTTATATTTATTTTTCTGTTTTATTGACAGCATCCAATAACAGTTCGTTGAGCAGTCCTTCAACCCCTCACCGAACGAGTTATGTCGACCCTGACCAGACATCAACGGGATGGGACAGCATGGCGTAGTGTAGCACACGTATTTCTGTAAATAGTTGCCTTATATAGTCTACCATGTAGTCGGCTTTTTTTTTTATATATAGAAATATGAAAAGAAAAAGCAATGAGAAACCTATTCAGTTTGAATTATAACTTTGACAAGCATTTAAACATAATGCCGACACCAGCACATAGTAGCATTCGATTGAACATGAACAGTGTGTGCATTTTTTTTTTTTTTTTTTTTAAATGGTGGGTGGGGTGAGACGGTGTGTTGGCTTTAAAGGGTGGCATTTTTTTTAGCGGTGTTGCGTTTAGACTGGAATTAGAATTATTTCACTATGATGAGTGCCTCTAACCTCCTCCCCCCTACTCCCTGTGAATATGTCAATTTATTCTCGGCAGATGACAGCATGGAAGTAGCCATGAAAACCCAGCTGCTTGCATCATTTGACGGTGTTTTTAAAAAAAAGACAAAGACCATATAAAGACCACTGTAAATTGTGTACCATAATTTCCATAATTTTGTACACAAAAAATGAAAAACATTTATTATTCTAACCAGGGAGTTTTTAAAACCCTGTTATCTCTGCATCTGAAAAAAAAATAACAATGGAACTACTGGTAGTCAGTACATTTAGTCATTTCACCTTGGTAATCTCTTATGTTCATGCCACACCATTCTTGTACATGTAGTATCAAGAAAATGTACAAGAGCTATTTTTTTGAGTATGGTATTAACAAAACCTTAATCTACTGACATGCATTATTAGGTAAATTAGTCAAATCAAAGACATCCCAAAGTAATGTGTTAATGATATAATATACTTATAAAGCTTGTAATGAGAAATTTGAAGGAAAAAAAAAAAAAAAGATGATAGCAATTATTTTTGTGATGTTATCAGAGAAACAGAATTTGTTATTTAATTAAAAAAAAATAACAATATGCATATATAGTACCAACCAAACAAATTTGGAAATGGAAAACAAAATAATTACAAGCTTTGACCCAGTTGTACTTTTTTTTAAAAAAAAAATAAGAAAGAATGTTAATTTCGTATAATTCTGCAATTTTATTTTTTTTGTGAACGCGAGACTCTGGTATATCGGGACCCAGTTGTATCTTTTTTCGTAGTCGTATATTTGTGTACTGTCTTACATTCTGCCATGTTAAGCTCAGGTTGTTTGTTATGCGCATACACATACACACGCACCCACACACACGTACACACACACACATACTTACGCAAACTGCAGCCAATGATCACTATCCTTTGATTTTCCTCGTTTTTTATGTAAATTTAGAAAATAGGATTGGGGTAGGGGGGTTTACGATAAGCTAATGTGACGGTGTACGTCCCTTCCTCCATATAGAAATTTAACATAACGAGTGATGGCGTTGCTTTATGTCATATCCACCTTACTATCGCGTATCGCATCATCAGTCCTAACAACTAAAACCACTGTGGTGTTGTCGACTGATGTATTTATTGGCCAATGTTTTATTTTATTTTATTTTTGTCTACCTTTGTTTTATCTTTGTAATTGCTTCTTCTTACTTGTTCAGACAATCCCACATATTGTAAAGTTTCTTTTGTTTTTTAAATGTAAAAAGTAAGAAAAAGAAAGGGGGTGGTGGTGGTCAGTAATTACTTAGGTCAAGTGACCGTACACTATCACAGAACATTGCCTAGTTAATGTTTCAAATGGAGTCTCTGACACTGGTGCTAATCAAAAGGATTTAGACGGATTTTCTTTTAAATAAGAGAAGCCAGCAGTGTACTTTTCTTTTTGTATCTAATTTTTTCTACACTTTGTCATTTTGATTCTTAGTCGCTTTACATGGAGGAAAAAAAGCAACCAACTGGATATTTTACAGTAACATACGCTCTACCCTCTACACCCCCCCTCCCCTTCTTGCAGCCTTGACAATTATTTGTAATTTGTCGATACGGTTTGAGGACATTTCAAAGTTCCCAATAATTTAGGTAGAGTTGTATTTGGTTTGCATTTTATTTTAAAATAGTTTAACAGTGTCTCGCTTTTTTCTGTTTTGTTTTTTAAGTCGAGCTATTTGGTATGTAAGTTAACTACAACAGATAAATTGACACAGCGTTTCAAACTATGCAGTCGATTATTTGACCCCTCTACTTGGGGGAGGATTTCTTGGCGTCGATTCAAATATTAGAAGACTGTGTAATGTGTTTGCATATTAGCATGGACCTTAATTACCCGGTATAAGTCGTGTATTTACCAGTGTCCTTTCTGCCCAATTTACAATAATAAATCCATTTCTGTAATATAAGCCAGTTACTGTTGTTTATTTTGTGTAAGAGAGATGCATGGATGGTTTAGTGTTCTGCTGTTTTCCCTGTCCATTTTATGTTTAAAGCCACAATGCAGGGTGATGTCCCCCTATCCTCATCCCTAACCTGAACCCCAGTAGACCATTTGCTATTTACAGTGAGATCCCACGTTTTGCATGAAAATAAACAAAAACAAAAAAGAGGACAAACAAAAGGTCATAGCATTTTAGTGGCAACAAAAAAATCACATGGGATTCGGCAAACAAGGAAGTATTTTTGGGTCTTTCTACGCTTAATTATGTGATGTACACATTTTTTAAGGGTCAATTTTGATGAAGCATCGCAAGGATGCCATATTCATTTCTGAAAGATCAAAATTTTGACATTGAGCTATAAGCTAAGACTTTCAAATCATGACTTTCGCGGCTGATGTTTAGCCCCACACTTTCTGCACAATACACAAAATCTCACGGTGAACAGCAAAAAATCACTTATTGATGATGGTGCCTTTTAAATAAAACGTATGCCACTGATTTTGATGTGCTTTGTAAAACCAGGAATTGTGATAGTGCAGTCTTATGTGCGAGCAGAACATCCACCATGCAACCAGAAATTACAGTAGTACATTCAACTTCAAATTGTTATAGCGCCCTCATGGTCAGTAAGTTGAAATTACTTTGTTGTACTGCAAGTT